GTAGATGTTTTAGATGTTCTGATATTGTTTTCTTTTATATTAGAGGAGTCTATTGTACTCTTGCTGTTGGTAGATGTTTTAGATGTTCTGATATTGTTTTCTTTTATATTAGAGGAGTCTATTGTACTCTTGCTGTTGGTAGATGTTATGATAATGTTTTTTTTTATATTAGAGTCTATTGTACTCTTGCTGTTGGTAGATGTTTTAGATGTTGTTTTCTTTTATATTAGAGTAGTCTATTGTACTCTTGCTGTTGGTAGATGTTTTAGATGTTATGATATTGTTTTCTTTTATATTAGAGGAGTCTATTGTACTCTTGCTGTTGGTAGATGTTTTAGATGTTATGATAATGTTTTCTTTCATACTTGTTTGGATCTGCAAAATATTTGCAGTTGTTTTCATGCCCTTTGCTTGAATTTTCCTTATCGTATTATTTTCATGCACACCATTTAAGCTATTCTATCTTGGAGGCATTATGTGATAAATAAGTAAATCTTGGTCTATTTGAAAAAAAATGTTATATGGCTAGACAAACAAATTCATGTAAATGTAACTTTATTTAATAAAACTACATTTAAAATAATCTATGAAGTAATGGTACTCATAATAGTGTACAGACAATGAAACAGTTATGAGCGTTCAGTGTATGACATGTTTTTATGAGTTGAAACAAAGAAAAATGAAGAATAAAACTCACACTAAAGGAAAAAGTAGCTGAAAGGTGTTTATAGCAGTCTGAAATGAAGCAAAGCTAAATTATTACACAGTAAAGTAAATGTAAAGCTGTAATGAAGGCAAACTTAGCTGAATATGCAGAAACATCTGAGTACGTGTTCACAAAGTGAGAAACATATGGTTTTGAACAAACAGCACATGTGTATTTTAAACCTAAATAAGTTGAGAAAGCCTATTAAAATTTGTATTTAGTGTAATGTTAATTTTTTTGAAATACTTTGCAAATAAAAAAACCTAAAGTTTAAATCGAAGCATGTCGTCTAGTGATGACAATGATATTGTGTCAGCACGTAGCATAGTCGTTGCATTAAAAAGTTTGAATAAGCAAAACACGGGTAAGGTGATTCTGAATGGAAAAGACTGTATGTAATCCCAACTCCATGGACAAAGACCATTCTAACAATATGAGATTTGTAAGATCTGATTGAGAAATTGGCAAGAAAAGTTCCAAACAGACAAATGCAAGCAAATTGTTTCTATAGATTGGAGGAACCTACCATACTCTTGCTATTGGTAAATGTTTTTCATGTTATGATATTTTCTGTTATATTGAAGGAGTCTGCCATACTCTTACTATTGGTAGATGTTTTTTGTGTGTCCTCTGATGGAATAGCAGTAAGTTTACAGACTTACAATGCTAAAATCCAAGGTTGGATTCTCCACAGTGGACATAGCAGATAGTCAAAAGTGGCTTTGCTCTTAAAACAAACTAAACTATTTTTATGTAAGTATATTGTTGTTGTTTCTTTCATTAAGGAAGTGTACTGTCCACTTGCTGTTGCTAGAGTTTTCTTTTATATTATGATGATGTTTGTTTTTCCACCAGAGGAGTCTACTGTGCTCTTGCTGTTGCTAGGTTAACAAATATTTTCACCCCAGACTTGTTTGATGGAACAGCAGAATGGGTAGTAAGGTAAGTATCTTTTTTTGTTGTAAACTATGCTTAACTATACAATTATTCTACTGTTATACAGTTTAGTATTCAATCACAGCTGTTTCTTTAACTTTTTAGTTTATGTAGGTGTAGTTTCATGATCAGTCATACTGGAATGTTTTAAGCTTGTAGCTCATTGAGCACTGTTTGTTTTGTAAAGTTACCATTGTTAGGTGTATATTAACACAAAATCTCTTGCGACCAGAAGCAAATGAGTTTCAGCCACGGGACAAGCTATATGAAATTCTGATAACTTTTTGTTGGTAGTATTGCATAAACCATTGAAAAGCCCAGAATCTGCTGTATCCAAATATGTAATCTATATGATGGTAATTTATTTTGGTCGGGAGTTATGAGACAGTTTTGCACCACTTTACCAGCCGTTGCCTCTCTTTTGATCCCTGAATCAAACTCTGAGATCTTTCATTGTCTGTTTGAGGTTTTTAGACCTTGTTCATGCTTATGATTGGTAGAAGGCTAATACTGCTAGTACTATGTTCCTGTTAGTACTAAACCTATTTTTGAGTACCACCACAGCATCTTTGGACTTGATAGATGGATTTGCTTCAATAAGGGCTGTCAAAAAGTCCATCATGATTGCATTCAGAGCGGCTGCACAAGATATAAGTCGAACATCTCGGAACATTCACTTGCAGTTAACCGGAGAAATAGTGGTGACTGCTGATGACATAACGAAGAGTAGCAAAGTTTGGCATGGTCAGTGGGGCTTGGAGTTATCTGATGAAGATCTGTTGATTTGGTCTGAAAACTCATGCAATGAGAGTGTGAATAAGAAAGAGGCTCACATAAGGAACCAATAAGTACTGTCTTTAACTGTGGGATTTCTGCTGATAGTGTGACCAGTTATAAGTTGGTCAGTTTTGTTCAATTTTGAAACCGTAAATATATTCTTCATATTCATTGTATGTTATGTCCAAAATAAGTTTCACCAAATTCAGATATTTTATGTCCAATCTCTGCCATCGAGGCACTTCTGGTTGAGGGAGAGATTCTGTGTTAAGTTCATTAATAATTTTTTGTTCTTCAGTTACCATTTTTTATCTACTTTGTGTTCAGCCTAATAGTATTGTTTGCACTTTGTTGAGCATTATTTTTCTTTAGAGTTACATTGTTAAATGTACTTTTATGTTCAGTCATAAATGGTTGTTTGTTGAAATTTATAGTTAATTCATTAAATGCTTTGTTCTTCAAAGTTACATTGTTAAGTGTACTGAACATTCCCAAGAACCAGACAACTTTTGTTATTAACAAATTGTTCTTTCCTAGATGTCAGACTTATGAAGGGGGTTTTGGTGGGGTTGTCTGGTATGGAAGCTATTAACAAATTGTTCTTCCCTAGATGTCAGACTTATGAAGGGGTTTTGGTGGGATGCCTGGTATGGAAGCTATTAACAAATTGTTCTTCCCTAGATGTCAGACTTATGAAGGTGGTTTTGGTGTGGTGCCTGGTATGGAAGCTATTAACAGAATTGTTTTTTTCCTAGATGTCAGACTTATGAAGGTGGTTTTGGTGTGGTGCCTGGTATGGAAGCTATTAACAGAATTGTTTTTTCCTAGATGTCAGACTTATGAAGGGTGGTTTTGGTGGGGGTGCCTGGTATGGAAGCTATTAACAAATTGTTCTTCCCTAGATGTCAGACTTATGAAGGTGGTTTTGGTGGGGTGCCTGGTATGGAAGCTCATGGTGGCTACACATTCTGTGGTTTTGCAAGTCTTGTACTTCTAGGACGAGAGAAACTGTGTGACGTTCACAAATTACTGGTAGGTGAGGTTTTGTTAGTAATTTCACTTTCTTCAGCTTAATAGAGTAATTGTTTATTTTACAGATGTCTTTAAAACAGTTAAGTTTTTCATATGTTTAAAATATTGAAATTAAATTTGGATATGAAGGTAGTTATAATCTGACATAAGACTGTTGGGTTTTGTAATACCTGTATTATTTAGTGTTGCTATAGGCATTCAAATGTAAAGTAGTAGTAAACACTTCAGTTTTATATTGCTAGAACATCATCTTCATTTTGTTTGACATCATATTTAATTACATACATGTAAGTCTTAATTGTCTGACTTAGAATTTGATTTGATACGATGATATTAAGTTGAGCATCTGATAATCTCAACCAGTGTGAGAGACAACTGAAGTAAGTTGCAGCTGAATGTTTCCTGTATCCCAAAGTTTATCTTGTCTCTGGGTTGTTGATATGCCAATGTTTCCTGTCTCCCAAAGTTTATGTTGTCTCTGGGTTGTTGATATGCCAATGTTTTCTGTATCCCAAAGTTTATGTTGTCTCTGGGTTGTTGATATGCCAATGTTTTCTGTATCCCAAAGTTTATGTTGTCTCTGGGTTGTTGATATGCCAATGTTTCATGTATCCCAAAGTTTATGTTGTCTCT